TACCACTGTGCCTCCTACTGACACTGACTTTTGTTGTGATTTCACATGTCACTGTTGTTACACATGCCTCCATTCTCCTAAATCTTTTTTGATAGCTCTATAGTTATGTTCTTAAATTAATGCACTGTATAGTCTGTATCAGTCTGAGCATTTAAAATGGATATTGTGTAAGACACGCCAAGCCTCTTTTTCATAGCTTCTAATTTATTTTTATCTAATGCTATTTAGTCGTAAGTATGGCTTTTCGGATCACCAGCTTGGCTTTATTCGTTGTGTATTCAAAATCTTGAGCTATTGCGTGGATTTGCCATCAGTATTATATTCCAGCTACAATACTAAATATCAGTAGAGCACCCAGATATTTTGTTGTTTTAGCCTGTCCTTGTGGCGTGCATCAATTGTTAAAAAGCCTCTTGACGACAAAATGAATTAAGGACGTCTTAAATCTTAAAAACATACCTGTAACAATTTACACATTAAATAACGTTTTAGATTGTCAATGAACACCATATGGTCAGAATGAGACAAAGATAGTTGGAAAACTGGTTGTCACCGGCCACCGACACCGTTCACAATACTCCGTGCGTGCAATGCATATTTGAAGCCCCGCACGGTACTTCCGAATCAATACTTTCAACTGGTGAAATTCCCGTTTGCCCGGGGGTACAAGGTGGAGTGGGCGTTTCCAAAAGAAACCGGAGAGACAGGTGAGAGAATAATTTACAGCCGGTCTACATAGAGAGTTGAACTTCATGAAAGGCTGCGATCATCTTTTTTTATGTGCGATTCTCTTGATAAAAGGCACTCTGTTAGTTAAAGTTGATCGGTGAAAAAAGAAAAAAAAATCTCTGCGTCGCTAAAAATCAATGGCTATCCATGTGACCCCTTTTCAGGTTTTGGAGGAGGGGGGTTATCGTGTTTTGATGACGCCCACAGCCCCACCTGGCGGAGTTCCGGAGACTCACAAGATAACAGTGTTTGTCAAAGCGGCCGAGCGCACACACCGCCAGTCTGTCTTCATGGGCTAAGTTGGAGGATGGCAGCGAGGGCGAAACTCTTCTCGTTATTTTTTGCTTTTTACCTGTTCTTTACCTTTTACGAATTGTCCCCAGCAGCCAGCTCGAAGAAGGGGAATGTGGAAAAGTGCAACGTTAAGGTAAAAAAAAATGCTTATTTCATACTTGAAAAACACTTGGAAGGTGTGGCGGTTCTGATGGAGAGTAGCGTATGAACCGTCTGGGGTTACGGGTTGCTTTAACTGAGTTGCGTCCTTCGGTAATCGTAAGGAGAAGAGATATGGATGTCTCTTTGCCATCTCTTTTAAAAATGTGTTTTTAGGAACTTGCATATATAAATAATATTCCGAGACGTTTTGGAATGGAATGTGTGTTGGTTTGTTTGGATCACTGCATAGGTGACTCCCTGGTAAAAAGGGTATTCTTCTCAAATAAAAATAAAAAAAAATCCCAGTTTTTACTATATTTTTATATTGGCTAACTTTTTGATTGGTCTATTCTTGATACGGCTACATCAGCCCCCATAGTCAGGTTACCCTACAGATGTGTTGCACATCTGTTTGGGTGCTGTGTTTGGCAAAATCAGTCTAAAAGCGGAGGGGTACGCGTTAAAGGAACAATAAAATGTGTACTATGGTAATGCAGAGCCCAGGAAGGGGCGAGTTAGCGGAGTGTGGCTCTGGGAGCTAAATAGTCCAATTTCAAGTGTGAAGAAGTCAGTCGGCGGGTTCTATTGTCGCGAAGGATTTGCTTGACCTGACCCGTCTTGTTGGATTCCGCGGTGAATCGGTTCGTCTTTTGTCATTTTAATTGAACGACTTCCAACTCTGGATCGGTTAGGCAGGCAACTGGGGGTAAAGGGCTGAATAGATGCAGCGGCAGGCTTTGAAAGCCGAGATCGCGCAGCCTTTTAATCGTGTTTTATCTCATATGAGGTTTTGTCCGGGGTGCTTTGTTTTCGGCGTGCCTTCATAAATGCTGGAATTGTTCATGACCGCCTCGGCACATTTGCGGTAGCTCCAAATATTTAACGACCGCGTAGCACTTGATGTAGGGGGTTTGCTGACACTTCGCTAGAAGTGGTCATTTCTGGGCGTTGAATATATATATTTTCACTTCTGATTTTAGTACTGTTTGTAATTGCAGTTATGTGTGTGGTGGTGGTGTTTTTTTATGTTTTGTGCATGAGTGCCGCAGCGCCAGCGGTGTGAGACGAGCTCTAAATTCCTTTTTGTATTTGTTTTCTTTTCTTTTCCTGGCCTGACCGCAAGTTGTGAATGGATCTGACGAGCTATTGAGTGACTGATTGCCCCCATAATGTATTGTCTGCTCAGGGGCAGGGCCGCCTTTGAAGTGATCTTCCATAGGAAGCGAGGGGACTGTTTGCGCTATTAAAATTCCTTGGCATTTCCTCTCTCAGACCCGCAGGCCAAAACCCCCTCCACCCCCCCCCAGCTGTGTGCTAGTTCAAACGCCGCGGGGACGCTGGCTGCTTGACTCGGAAGAGCCGTTGAATGAAGCACTCCGACCCTGTTGACTTTGCAGGTGTCAGGTAGTGTCGGTGGGAGCAGAGGGCACAAGTCACTGAATTGAGAACTGGCTCGCGTGTGTTTGCTGCATCCGATAGAGAAATGCCAGTGTCCACCCACCTCAGCGAAGCGATTTCCGTTTTCGGAAACATTATTCTATTTATGCATCCCTTCTGTTGATTATTTTGTTTTTCAACAATGCAAGATGTAAGATACAAAGTCCCCGATCGTGCGCTGTTAACGCATCCCTATCAGAATAAAAATAACACCTTCACTTTCCGTTTATTCAAATATCAGCAACAGGTAACCTTTAACATAAGCTTAGATTTTAGAATAAACATGTATTTTCCCGAACAAAACTTTTTGTTGTTGAATCGTTCAGCTCTTTCGAACACATTTTAAGATGTGTAGCCCCTGAGCATCCAACACTAACACGAATGCATTCAGTCGAAATACAGAAAGCAAACCTCTTTACACACAATCCATAATTTGTCGCAATTATTTTATTTCAGTGAAAAAACATTCAATGTAAGGAGTTCAAGTTTTTTTTTTTAAAAAACGAGTCCTACAACACAAAAAGGACAGATTTGTATTTTAGTGTAGGAGTGATAAAGTCAGTTGTGCGACTATCGATTAAAAAAAAAGATTTGTAGAGCATAGAAAGGTAACAAGAAATAAACCCAGGACTGTGTCACCAAAGACTTAAGAGATTTTTTTTATGGACTTTTGACCCTTCAACTGGTCTGCATCTTCCAGGTGGGGGCTGTACTACACGTGTGGATTAAGTGGGTGCCATTCTGCATGTAAAGTGCTTTGGGATTATTCGCACTATAGAAATATAATTAATTACATGCCATCTACACTGTTAGCTTTGCACCTACACAAAGATGGAATTTAGTTCAGAAGGAAAAGAAAGCAACTGGTCAGTGGCTCAGCCAGCCAGAAACTTTATCTGAAAGGAAAGATCTTTTCTGTGTAAAGATCTTTCTTTACGATGTATAACTTAAAACACCTAATCATAAGGTGTTTTGAAGAACATTAATAGTACGTTACTTTCTGTCAGTATTACCCCCGAGGAAGACAAACACCCTAACATTTTGTCTTTTGCCAGCTGTTGGTGGTTGTTTTTTTTTTTGTTTGCAGTATTTCCAAATACTTTTGCTTTCTAATTTAACATCAAAACCGGATGCCTGCTACCACTTGTTGTTCTCGTTGTGAAGGACTCAGGACATTGTTCACTTTTTACCCGCATAGCATGCCTTCTGGTTGCTTGAAAAGTTACTTGTGTCCACTCTTTCCATGTGTTTTACGTGTTTTAACTAGACATGCTTGAAGTAAAAAAAAACACAGAACAAAGCAAGCAAGGCAAAAAAGAGAAAGATGTAGGCCTGGGGCTTATTCGAGGAGCTATCAATTTTTAGGCCCTGTCTGCTAGCTCAGGAGGATCCTCTGTGATTAGTAGGTCTGGAGGAAACCGAAAAGCCTGTGAAGTGATTGAATACAAGGGAAATGTAAAATCAAGTCAGCTCTGATTTGGCTCGTGCTGCAAATGTTAAATTAAGGTATACCTCCGTCCATTACATGGGTGATCAGGGTGGACCAGGCCTGCTTCCCATTGGAGCCTCGAGGTCCCTCCAGTGTTTCGGGATTGTCTTCTCCAAGGTCCCAGGGCTTCCTACGTCTCGGTTAGTTTCAAGTCCACTACAATGCTGTTACCTTTCGCAGATGGACTGACAACCCAGGATATCGCAGCTTGGTTTCTTTGGTGGAAACCGTTTAAAAACGCTCCGTTGCTTTGAATAACATTTTGACACTTGGGGCACATTTCTGTCTCTCCAGAAGGGTACTGTTTGTTAAGAGCATAAGAAAGTTGTCGTCTGGGGTAGACTGGGTTTTGGGGGGCGACTGGAAAGGGGTTTGTTTGAGCTGGGGTGGGGGTTAAAGGGGTCCTCTTTTTCTTTTTGTTGCTGTCTTTGGATGTTCATTGTTACAATACTAAAAAGGTGATCACAAACAAAATAGTGTAAGAAAGGTAACTAATGAGAGGAGGCCACTTGGCTTGTCTAGCCACTTAGGTAATTTGTGTTGTAGTTAATTGATCTCAACCAGCTGTTTCTTGAGAGAAACCAGGGTGTCGGCTTGGTTTAACATGTACCCAACATGGCTGGGTACTGTTGCTTTCAGTGTTGATCATTTAGAAAGATGAATTGTGGCTGTAATAAGACTGAAACTTATTTCCCACTGTATGAATTCATCTTGCCTTTCTTTTGCCTTTCCCCAGTGTCTATGTGTGAATGTAAAGTGAACTGCAGATGTCAGAACTCTTTAGCACAGATACCCCGTTTCGATTGATCAGGCATCAAGTTCAATGTGAGGTTTTTCAACTGTAGGGCATTTGTTACTTGCGTGACTCAGTTTGTGGGTTGAGATGACAGTATGGCCACTGCAGCCAAAAGGAGAGTTGAAGGAGAGTGCTGAATGTCATTGTTCCTTAAGATTAGCTCTTATTATTAGCCATATTATTAGCCATTATTATTTGTATACAGCTTGATCAGGAATTACATTTAAAATGCTTTCAACCCATGAACAATTGGGATGGTGCACTTTTGTTTGCTGTACTAACATGTTATGTTTAAGGTTAAAAGACTTTGGAGCTCACACGGAATGCTCTGTTTGAAAGCTGAAAGCTGTAATTGAAGCCTTTTTTGCTTTCTGGAGCCAAGTTTGTTACTTAGGTGTACTCTATATCTTTTAGATCGGAGAGACACGCAATCTAAAAACTCTTCTTCTCTTATATGCTTCAGTCCTGTTTCTTCCCTGATAGTCATTAAGATGCAATGTTAGTAATGATTTTGTCATTTTAGATATTTCAGGTTTGGGTTTATTTTCTATGGATCTCATTAGAGACACCTAAAATGGAAAGGACTTTAGTCAGTCCGTGTCTTTCCAGCAATGAAAGACATTTCTTTTCCTTCTTGTCTCCTGAATTAGCTTTATTTGACAGTGCTGGTCTATTTTTAACTGTGTTTAAGAATCTTTGTAAATAACCCAGACTGCTGATCCCAGTGAGCGATGTTATGCTGAATTTTGTTTCAAGGCATAAACCAACTGCAGATGTCCTACAATTGGTTTATCATAAATAGTAATAAAAGGAAATCAACTTGACTGAAAACACCACATTTATGAAGGAAAATTGATCGAGGTGGGAAACATGTCTTTATTGATATTCTTAAAAGTCTTAAAAGAGCATAAGAAGTATTTAAACTCAAGTTACTATTTAACCATGCACATGAATGAGGTTTTTGTCTAACAAAGTTCATCTTGAAAGCTATGTGCTATGTCTAATACAGATCTTCCTTACCTTAAAGGAAGCAACACTGTTATCTTGTATGCAGATCTCAGAAGCTCAGTAAGGCTGGGCCTGGTCAGTATTAAGATGGAAAACTTCTAAGTCAATCCAAGTTACTGCTGCACAAAGTGTTGCTGGATCAGTAGGTCACACTCTTCCCTTGGACCACAGTTTCCATACTGTTATACTAACATAGTGGTGGGTACTCTGTCCTGTAGGAGCTGAGATGATAGGGTAAGGTCCAGCCTTTTTTGGGCATTAA